ACTACTAAACAGAAACACAATTTAGAACCTTGGACGCAAACATATAAATAAACCCGCAAGGTACCTGCAGGACCTGCGTGGACCCACCTTTTCGACGGCTTGGACCACTTTGCAACGCGTTCGGGCGGACTTGGAACAGCTTTGGGGCTGCTTTCGGGCGCACTCAAGTTGTCCTGGCTGTTAGTCCAACATGAAAGTGTTGGCCAAACTAACACTAAATCTCCAAACCTAAAATTCTACACCCAAAATCCATAAAGTTCCAAACACTGAACCCCGAGACGCAAACCTTTCCAAGGGCATAGAGTGCTGTCAAGATGGCAGTAGAGATGTTAGTCAAGGCACAAATTCGGATTTTTTCTGACTCCGATACGGGATCGAAAAAAATCCGGAAAGTTTTTTTCTGACCCGAAGCCTTCGACAAAGTATTTATATAAGTGAGAGGTCAAATCAAAACCAATACGAAGTCAAAAAAAATCAAGAAACAAGCGCTGGCTCTTCTCACCCTTCGAAGATGGAAGACTTGTCTGGCCAGCTGACTGACCGGGACGACTTCTACGACCCTTTCCGCCTTGCCAGCACAAACCGACTTTATCCTTCAAAGGCTTCCATGGACCGTCCTCGAAGCAAGAGATTCAGGGCCTCTGCAGAAAGTCCATCCGTCTCCAATGTCATGCCCGTCCATACTACTCTCAAACCATTGTTCCAGAGGGACGCTTGTGGATTTGAATTTGCGCACCTGCATTGGTATTCTTTCCGTCCGCAGACCTTATGAACTCATATGTGGCATCCGTTTCTTATAGCTCATATATCTGATGGCCTTTTTTCGTTGGGTCGCTGGCTCAAGCGGATTTGGATGTTCGGGCATCTGATTTATACCGCAACGGACAAGCGAATAAATCCGTCCGTCTGCCTTGTCGTCGGGTATGCTTGAGCTTCGCTGCTAAGACACAGCTGGCAGGTCCAATTCTCCGTCATTGGCACGCTAAGCCATTGCATCTTGGAAAGTCTGGATGGTCAAGTAAGACAGACGCGGCAGCAAAGTGCACCATGAAGAGGGCAAACACGAGAAGGTGAAAGACCGACCTGATAAGGTGACGGCAGAGACGTTGTAGTGAGCAGGGCAGAATCTACGCTAGGCAAAAGGCTTTACTGATCCCTATAGCATAGAAGAACTCTTCTTTTCTGT